GATTGTAGAACTAGGATTGTTGGTTTTCAGTTTCCAGACGAACCAATCTTAGAATGGAAGGGTAGTAGCCTGGCGCTTATGGGTCGATTTATGTCTTTTTTAAGGCGAGAAAGAAGATATCTAAGGGTTATCTCTATCATCTAGTTTGGGTTAAGGATTCTTGCCTTCAAACCCCATATCTTGAGTAAGTTCTAGTAGTCTGTGAATTTCCAGAAGTATTTCCAAATGATCTTCTTGGGGTTCCTCCAAAAAGGGAAATCAACTTTGGAATTGATCTCTTTCCAGATAGTCAGCTAATTTCTATTCCTCCGTACAGAATGGCTACAACAGATCTTAAGGAATTGGATGAGTAGTTGAAAGACCTTCTAGATAAGGGTTTCATCAGACCTAGTAATTAACCATAGGGTGCACCAGTATTGTTCGTAAAGAATAAAGACGGTTCTTTCAGAATGTGCATTGACTATAGACAGTTGAACAAGGTCACAATCAAGAATAAGTATCCCATCCCCAGGATTGATGACTTGTTTGACCAACTTCAGGGTGCTAGTAATTTCTCAAAGATAGACCTTAGATCGGGTAATCATCAGCTCAAATCAGAGATAGTGACATTCCGAATACAGCCTTCAGAACTCGGTATGGTCATGTCGTTATCATCTTCATTGATGAAATCCTCATTTACTCTAGGAGTGAGGAAGAAGATGCAAGTAATTTGAGAGTTGTTATGCATACTCTCAAAGATCGCTAAATGTGAGTTTTGGTTGCAATCCGTTTCTTTCCTTGATCACATTGTATCTAGCAAAGGGATCCATGTAGATTCACAAAAGATAGAAGTAGTGAAACAATGGCCTAGACCTACCTCTGCTACAGATATCCGAAGATTCTTAGGTTTAGCAGGCTATTACAGAAGGTCCATGGAAATATTTTCATCCATAGCCTCACCATTAACTAGGTTGACTCAAAGATTGTCAAGTTCCAATGGTCAGAAGATTGTGACAAAAGTTTCGCAGAATTGAAAACTAAATTAACTACAACTTCTGTTTGACTCAATAAGAGATTTAAGATAATTATGTGATCTATTGCGAGGCATCTAGAGTTGGCCTTGGTTGTGTGTTGATGAAAAGAGTTAAGGTTATATCTTATGCCTCTAGAAATCATATGGTGCATGAGAAGAACTATCCAAGCATAAAGACATAACCGGAAGTATTTTTCATGTCTTCTTTATCTCCAGCAAAATCACTCTCTGTTAAGTTTATTATCTCTGATTTGCCTTTTTTTTTATAGAATAGCATAGTCAATAGTACCTTGCAAATTCTTGAAAATTCTTTTAGTAGACAACAAATAAATCTCATTTGGGTGCTCCATGTACCTATTAACAAGACTAAAAAATAACATTACAACAGGTCTAGTGACTATTAGGTTCGTCAGATATCCCACGAATTTTAAAAGAGTGTTGTCAATCAACTTAAGTCCAAACGATGTTGGTGTTTTGACAGATTATCTGCATTCCAAACCTCTAAAATGTTTCCTGGACATATTTTTTCTGTGAAATAAAAATTTCATTACTTGATTTCTTTACTTTAGTGGCCAGACAGTAATGCATCAAGCCAACATCAAATATATCAGACTCAGTATCATTGATATCTTAAATTTTTGAAGAAATATAGGATAACTCCCAGCATCAAATTTTCTACATATAAGCATACAATCACAAGTTTCCCATCCTCAAGTTTTGTAAAATTTGTATGCTCGTATGAACATTTTCTAAAATTTCCTATATTAAAATATGCTTCAATGTGACTATACCAAGCTCGGGGAGCTTGTTTTATCCCATATAAATCCCTTTTCAATCTATAAACTTCATGGTCAATTTCAAGCATCACATAAAAAGAGGTTGATCAACATATGCCTGTTCTTGTAGCTCTCTGTGCAAAAAGGCTAATTTTACATCAAGTTGATAAATCGACCAATTGTATTGTGTTGCCAATGCAAAGACCTATCGAATGGTATCAAGTCTGACTATCGTTGCAAATACCTCCTTCTTATCCACATCATACTGTTGCTTGTATCCTTTCACCACTAAGTGCGCTTTGTACTCATCATCTTCACCAGAATCATTTAACTCCAATGGATCTTTTGCTTTTTGGAATATTCGTAATCTCCCTACTATTCTTCTTTTAAAATGTGGAAATATAATCATCCATTGATTTATTCCACTTTTCATATTTATAGGCATCCTCAAATCCTACGGGTTCACAACCAGGAAATAAAGCCATATATGTAGATTAATTTATAATTTCATATTGAACATTTCCACTAACCTCGTAATCTGTCATCCATGTTGTCCTTCTTCCACTTTGTTGAGGTCGGATGATGGCTCCTTCTTGATGTACCAAGACAGAAGCACCTTCATCGGCTACTGGTTGCTCTTGCTCCTTATCTCCCTCTACAAGATCCAAAGGAATTTGTTGGTTGTTTGGATTTTCTTCCCACAACCAGAAATTACCTTCATCAAACAGCACATAACGATTGATAATCTCAATATTAGTTATAGGATTGTACAGTTTGTAATCTTTTGACTCCTTCCTAGCACCCATGAAAACACACTTATTGGCTTTGCCGTCTAGCTTTGTCCTTTTCTGATCCGAAAGATGAGCAAATGGAATTCAGCCAAACATTCTTAAGTGTTGAAACTATGGCTATTGTCCACTCTAAGCTTCTTATGGTTTCATATTCGTAATAGCACGATAAGGACTTCGATTCATCACATAAATCCTCCAACAAATTAATTCAGGACAAAAAGCTTTTGGAACACGTCTGTTTTGTAAAGGGATTCACACAAAGTTCATGATTGTTACGTTGTTACTCGCGCGTACTACATTTTTTAGAGGAGTATAAGTTGTAGTTATATCTCATGAAACTCACAAAAGCATATGAATACCTGTGAAAGATACTCTCCTCCAAAATCAGTATGAAGAATCTTATTGGAACCCTGTCTCCTTCTCAGTAAGAGCTTTGAAGCTTTTGGAAATGATAAAAGCTAAGATTTTTGTTTCAGAAAATAATCCCATGTCTTTCAGCTAAAATAATCAATAAACGCTATAAAGTAACATTTTCCTCCGTTCGATATTGGATTTATTGGTCCACAACTATAGTGAACCAACTCTAGCTGCCTTTTTGCGATCCATGTTTTTCCTTTTGGAAAGCTATAGCGAGATTGCTTTTCAATGACACAATCTTCACAAATATCTAAAGGCATATAAATTTAGGAAGATCCACAACCCTCTTCTTTTTGTGCAACATTTCCTGTCCTCCAAATTCATATGCCCATATTTGTAGTGTCAAACGAATGCTTGAATATTCAACTTTTTTGAAAAACAAAAATTCGTAGAGCTAAAAATATGCATTACAAGTGGGAAATTTTTATTTGCGTCATCGTATATTAATGGATATATCCAACATTAGAATCTCAGATCCAAAAATTTCCATGCTTAATAGACACCTCGTAGCAGTTCTCTGGATGTTGATCCACATTGATAAGATTTCTTTTCAGGTTTGCTGCAAAGAAAACATCACAGATAATCTACATAGATGAAGACTTTGTTTGGATTTTCATCTTCCCTTTCCCTTTGATAGCAATACGGGAATAATCCCCAATGTTGATTGTCGTGCGAAAGGTTTCATCTAGATAAGAAATGCAGATTTTTCTCCAGAAAAATTGTTGCTACAACCCGTTTCTGAATACCACAAAGTTTTATGGTAATGTTTTGAGGATTGTCTCACCATTTACAAAGGGATCTCCTCCTCCTAAATTTCGTCTGTAAAATTAGAGTTCTCCCCACGAATACTTTTCAAATTCGTACGAAATTCAGAATGGTAATGACCATCTTGTGAAATCTAAAAAACTCGATATGAGACTTATCTTCAAGCTTTGCCTTCCCATTGGACGAGTGTTGTTGAACACGATCATGCTGACTATTTGGTTTTTGGTTTCGCTCTTTAGTTCTCTACGAGTATCTTCCATTCCACTTGCTCTTTTTGTGCCCGGAATCTTTTGAGGTTGTGGTTACTTGTAATGCTTGCTCTTCTACCTCCTGTTGAAAAATCTTGTGCTCAAGAACCATCCAAGAAATTTGTAATTCATCAGGTGAAAGAGTACCCAAGTCTTTCGACTCTTCAATATAATAGATAACAAAATTGAATTTCTGCAACATGGACCGCAAGATATTCCAATGGTGACGTCTTCAAACCTTTCTCATTGATTCCTCATCTTGTTGGCAGTTGTAATAATCCGTGAGAAGTACAGCGACATCGACTATCCCGAATTCATCTGCAACGTCTCAAACTCTCCTTGTAAGGTTTGAATCTTTGCTCGCTTTGCCTTTCCATTTCCCTGGTACTTCATATTTATGGAGTCCTAAATTTTCTTTGACGTATCTTTGCTAAGAATTATTCCACTATTGAATGATCAATGGCTTGGAAAAGATAAGTCTTCGCCTTCAAATCTTTCAAATTAGGTGCTTCAAGCTCTATCTGTTGAGCATACGTTTGAAGAGCACGAGCCACAAGTTCTTGGAATCCACAATCAACTACTTCCCACAACACTTTGGACCCCAAAAAGTGTTCCATCAATATGATCCAATTGTAATAATGACCATCAGAGAATCGAACAAAATATTGGACAAAAATTCATGAAGACATGGCGCACTCACAATTAAAGAACGTTCACCCTCACTGGCTATTGATACAACTATTAGAAAATTGGAAATAAAAAAAACGTACAAGAGTTTGGGAGGTGGTAAAGTTATCATTAAAATGAAAGAAACAACAACCATAAAGACAATACACATCATACATTATCTCAACCAATAAGCCATTAAAAAATTAAAATTGACCTACTAAGTCACACGTTTCTAGTAACATGGAAATAGCAACCATATACCCTTAAAACTAGGAAAGAATGAACTTAATTAATTAAAATATCAAACACTTTCATCTTTTTAAAATTTTCTTTTTCAAATCAGAACTTAATGAACAAGTTGTTTGCAGATATTTAACTGCGCATTTGGTCTTTTCCAACATTTTTATGGAAGATGTCCATTTTTTCCACAGTGCGTACAATGTGGGTAGTTTTTCAAAAATTTACTCTTTCTTTGAGTTTTGTGGATAGCTATTAATGGTCCTTTAACCATATCATCTTTCCTCATAAGTCTTTTTTAATCCTATGCCTGCAAAGAATTTAACAATTCTGCAAAGGTAATTTTGGGCAGATCTTGTGTGATTTCCAGGGTTCTAATACATGCTTAATATCTTTCGGGCACAATAACAAAAATCTTTTCAACAATCTTTGTATCCTTAAATTCAGCGCTTAATAATCTTACCTTGTTGACAATATCAAGCAATTCTCTAAGAGTATTCCTTGTTTGTTCTTACTCTTTCATTTTCCCTTTCATTTTTTTTAATTCAAATTCCCTCATTAAATTTAATACTTTCATGCCTCTTATTCTTTCATTTCTAGCATATTCTTTCTTCAGAAAATTCTAAATATCTTTGGTTATATGAGAGTCATGATTTTCATGAAACAAAGGTTCTTTTGCCTTCGACTTAATGGTTTTCCCTTGTGACTTTTGATTTGGGGCATGATGTGATTTTTTTTGCAGCGAATAGATTTCATAATCCTCTTCCATGGCCCCAAAGATCAAGATTCTCCATGTAAGTTTGTATTCTCGCATCCCATAATTAATAGTTCTAACCATCAAAAATAGGAGGAGACATTCATGATGACCAATTTTGTAATCCTTTCTTCTACTCACATATCCCTAAAGAAGAAGGCTCTACATACCAATTGTTGATATTTAATAAATAAATTAAGAAAATATTAGAGAAAGACTTTTGAGAGAAGAAAATTATGCAAAATTGTTAAAGTGAATTGTATTAGTAATAATCCAAAGACATATATTAATAAATATAATTTCTAATTAAAAATTGAAAAATATGCTACTACCTTACAGGAAAATTCAAATATTAAATAAAATAAATAACTCCTTAATATAAGTCAAATAGGACTTTAATAACATAATTTAATAATCCTAAAGTTAACTAACTAATTTGTTACTGCAATATCCTGAGACATATTCTCAACAACATTGTAAGTATTCGAAAGAGATAACATAGAGTAAACAACTTATCCACAACCATTAACATGAGCCTAGAATTGAACTTGTAAGTATTAACATAGAGTAAACAACTTACCGACAAACTTCACTATTAGCCTAGCAATAATAAAACATCCCGCTGCACATTTCTAGGGCCCATCATATATTTTTTCAGGGGTAAATAATGATATTGTGACTATGGATTAAACTATATGCATTCTCAGACGCGGTGAGGAGTCTAATAAATAATCAATGTTATCCTATCCTACGCTACCTAGGTTGTTTTATGGGACTTCTGAGTTATGAAAGACTGTAACTAAATTTGGTGCTTGATACTACTCCCAAAACATTTGCTTTAACATTATGCCTAATTTTACCCCTTTCAAAAAAGGGACTTGTTACTTGTTGAAATACTTTTCAAACCTTAGACATACTTACATTATTGAGAACGTATACTTACATTAAAAACCTTTTAACTTTTTTTATGAAATAAAATCTTTAGACTTTTTCTCGATTCTAAGTTTGAAATAAAATGATTGGATTCCAAAGGCAATAAAGACGTATAGATCAAGTCATAAGGTTCATGTAGAATTATGTAAATGAACGACTCAATTTAAGGACCTTAATTATCATATGGAAACTAAAGAACAAAACTCTTCTAACGACTTGGTTCTTAACCATAATCAATGTCAAAATAACTGTCACATTTTACTCAAAAGGAACTCTTGAACATTTCCTCTTAAAAATACTTTTATTTGGAAAATCAACAAAACATAATTTAAGACATTTGATTACGATATGAAGCACCTCTCAATGATTAAGTGTAACACCCCATACCCAAAACATAAGGTGCTACCAACAGTTGCATTGATGAACCGTATCCTTAGCCACGGTCTGTTCGGCACAACCGTCGATGGGATCAGAAACTCCCAAAAATTTCAGCCTAGAAAAATTGGTTAACTCTTGGATGATGGACAGACTTACGGTCTGTAAGTCAAATGACGGTTTGTAGTCCGTGACCGTCTATCAAGACTCTCTTCAACCACTCTATGACACCAGTTATGGATGACCAGCATGGTTCGTAGGTGGAAAATTTGCAGCCAATTAAGGGGAAATTCAGTTGAGTCAACTTAAAATGATCATAACCCTTAGCACAAAATGAATTAGGTCTCCCATGACCTACCCACAAAAAGATAACTTAATTATCTTTCCATAGCCACCGACCTTGCTAAAATCAGACCGCCGAGTAAAAGTTATGCCCATTTTAGTAAAGGACTGTCGAACAAGCCCTTACGACGGACCCAATGACGGGGCATCGGGCGCACGATGGACCATCAATCCTGGACGTCGTGAGGCTCGATAGCAACCTTCCCAAGGGTCTTTTTGAACTTTCCCATTCCGTTTAAATCCTAAGTTACGTCGTTTTGACCCCAAATCTTAAGATTTTAGTCAGTTTAAGCGTAGAAACATAATTAACACATATCCAAGTCAAATCATTAAATAAAAACATAGAAAATTAGAATCAAGATAGTGGAAAAAAAATCAAGAACCCTTGTTCAAGAACGCCACAAGGTCCAGCAGTTCCAGCCCCAAAACCTAGGTATTTCCGTTGATTTCATGACCAGGTATGCTGGATTTCACTAGTGATTTCCTTTTACCCATTGGGTACCTAGTTTTCAGTTAGTTCCTGATTCTCTTATAATGATTAAGCCTAGGGTTTCTAGAACTTTTATATAACTTCATGAATTTATTAAATATATGTTCCAAATAAGATTATCATGTTATTACTCAGATTATCGCCTTAAATTTAAGACCCCTAGCTTTGTATTTCTTTAGTTCTTTAATTACACATGCTAGGTCATATATTTAAGACACTTCAGATATACATGCCTCAGTTATTAATGCATAATTACCAGATTAATTGTTGCATTCTCAGTTTGCATGTTAAATTTCGAGCTATCTAGTATTTACAGAATTTCAAATAAAATCAGTTAATTTACAAAATTCATTGGGAGTAGCATAAAACCAAGTTTTACTAGGGTTTGGCATGCCCAATAGTCCCAAAAGTAGTAGCCATGTAGGTTGCAAGTCCCCTCTGTGGGTAATTATTTTAGTGATCACGCTAGCATGCCTTTATATCTTTGGCAGGGTATATTGGGTCCTCTCGATAGGGTGTATACATCATAGTCCATGTGGTTTTATTATCGGTTATTAGTAGCTCCCACAACTCACAACAATGACCATTTATCAGTATATTCAGTGTTCAGTTTCAATGTGTTATAAATTGGTCAGATTATTATACTTGTTATTGTGCTTGTTCAGCTATGTATTATTTCAGCTTTACTTTACCCTACATGATCAATACATGTCATGTACTGACGTATACGTGCGCCACATCTTCTCGTGATGTAGGTTCAGGTTCCCAGTATCCAGATCACGCAGAGATCAATTTCGTGATCGCTAGTTCAGCAAATTCAGTGGTGAGTCCTTATACTCCGAGGATAACAGTCATGAGTTTCATTTCAGTCATTAGTCATTTGGTTTTAGTTTTTGCTATATTTAAATGGGGGCTTGTCCTAGTATTTCTACTTTAGTTTACAGGCTATTTTCCGAAATAGGTAGATTCAGCTTAGTATTGAGTTAGTATTTCTTTTGTATTAAACTCATTGTTTTCAAAAATCTCAGTTATAGATTATGGGTATTCCCATCTTTTCATTTTAAGTATGATTTAGCTTCCGCAATAGTTTATTATCTTTTGTATGCTTATGATCATGCAAGAAGGGTTAGCTTGGGATCACTTGTGGTCGTAGGTTTCGTGTCCGCATCTTGGGGTAGCTCGGGGCGTGACAAAATTTTGTATCAGAGCACTAGGTTTAAGTGTCCTAAGATGTCTAAAAATCCACATAGAGTAGAATACTTCTCATGGGTGTGAAGTGCAGCACCTCTAATGAGAGGAAGGCTATGAAGTGTTTTAGCAAAAACATCACTTTCTTGTTACTATTATCGTGCGTAAGGTATTGATACGCTCAAACTTACTTCTCAAATACGAAGTAAAGCAGTCGTATCATGTAAAGAACCCAACTAATGAAGTTGGGATCGTTTCCACAAGGAAAATAGTTCATACTTAACATTAATCTATGATTACTATTATTTAGTCAATTATTTCCTCAGAAAATAAAATACAATAAAAGGGGGGGGGGGTTATTTATAAATTAATGAAAATAACTAACTAAATTAAAGTAACCAACTAAAGGAATCAAATCTTGGAGTTTAATCAATTAATAAAAGTAACTAGTGTTTAATTGTTCCCCACAGGTTCCTAACTTGATAATGCTAACTATTACAGTTCTTTCCTAGTATCTTGCATGCAAAGTGATAGGTTATGTATTTCTAAATCCTTAGTCTGGCATATAGAAAATTTCACTCCGCACCTTGGTCCGGCTACGTGTGTTGCTATACTTACCCTTAGGTTTACATCATATTCAGCATTATACTTGATATTTGACAAAGTTATTACCTCGTACCAATCGACACTAGCCTATTAGACAGTATAAACTAAATTTAAGTTGATAATTCTTTTCCTATTTTCTACCTCCTAGGTCCAGCAAGTAGCATTAAGGATAGTTCTAATGTTGGCGATACATTAAAAAGACATCTAAACGAAAGACTTATAAATACATGCAAGACACTGTTCTTGAATTGTTATTTTAGTTAGATTTTACCTCATTATTCACCCATGTTTCCCACAACGGTAGTTATGGAGTTAAGTTACCCATAGTCATAATCACAATATTCATATATTTAATATAAGAATTCATGCACTTACTTTGATGAGATAGAAAAAAACCAGAAATTCACTTGATTAATCAACAAAATCATCAACAATCAATTCCACAAAAAGTGTAAGAATAAAAAAGTATATTATCCAATAGTCTAAGATCAAAGAGTTTAACAAACAAAGAGTCTAACAACCAAAAGTCTAACCCCAAAAATGAGATTTTTTGAACTATTTATAAAAAAAATAAAAACCTAATAAAAGAAGGACTCTAATTACTGAAAATCTTTCAAAACACGGCAGGGTCAAGAGAACTCGTGATGGACCATCGTGGTTATGACGGCTGTCATGGCCTCCGTCGTCCCATACTTTACAAATTCTTCTGCTGCTCTCTTCATTACCCTCGACGGTCTGTATGACGGACCATTCCAAGCAGGACGGTCCATCGAGGGTTTCCATTTTATAACACTTAAACTTCTTGGAAATTGGGTACTGGACTACTCTCTGATCTTTGCGACGAACCAGCAGGATGGACCTTTGTGGTGATGATGGTCCGTCATAATCTTTCGTTATCCCACACATAGGTAAGTCTACCCCATCTACCTTCAGCTCCGTAGGTGGAAAATTTTCTCCATTTTTTGCTCAAAAAGTTCCGCATTTATCTTTGGACAGATTACCTACAAATAAAGAGAAACTTACATAAAAATTAATACAAAAAGGCTTTTAGACACACACTAAACTTAAGGAAAAAACATTAGAAATATCATGAAATCACGGTATATCAGGTATGATCTTATTCCAATCAAACATGAAATTCTATGTTTTAGATCATGCCTTCTCGTAGAGCTTAGTCATGGAATGCTAATGCACGTAATGTTAACACAGTTCCTCTAGTACCATTTAAGGATGTTCAAATGAAAAATTTTAGAAAGCAAATTCAGCTTTTGGTAAAGATTATGACAAACAAAAATAATCAGCAGGTTCTAGTTCCTACTAATAGAATTGATCGATCAATGGCAGCAATAGTTTTTAATTTTTTTAGGATGACTACATCTAAGTTTTAAGGGTCGGATATTGGTAAGGACCCACAGAAGTACATTGATGAAATTAAGAAAATATTTGTTGTGATGTCAGTAACTAGTAGTGATAGGTGAGATTGGCATACAACAAACTCAATGGAAGGATACGAAAGAATCGATCTTTCTCTTCGTTGTTGAATCTCTCTTTGATTACTCAATGTGTGATAATCTGAATCCTCATTACTCATGGAATCCAAATGATCTCTAGATTGATCAGAAGATCCTTTCAGTTGGCTAGAATCCGTTACTTGAACGAAACTAGATCTTGTGGAATCATATTGACTATTTGACGATACATTTGCTACCTTGCTTAAAAAAATGATCCTTATTTACCAACAACACATTGTCTAACTAAATCCAATTCTCACTCGATACATTCCTCAAAAAATCTGATTCGGGTGGGTTCTTCCCCAACTAATGAAGATATCTTGGCGGAAAGGCCATATATAAAATTGAGCACAATTTTGCAAAGAAATAGCCCACTTGTTTCTCGAGAAGAGATGGGAAACATGCTCAATATAATTTGATTGAATAGTTGACCCAACCCCTTGTTGTTTGACGAAACCATCCACTTCAATTGGTATTTTTCACGAAAAGCAGTCATGAGGTAAGAAATCCAATGTTTCACTAAGATTTTGAATAGCGGTCCCGAATTCAAGTTGATTCTATTTTGACTTTTCCTCAGAGAAAGACGATCAAACAATTCCCAATCATGGTATTTGCGTATCGGTTCATCAATATAATATACAAAAAGAAACTCCAGATATTTGAGATCTTTCTCTTTGAATAAGATCTCAATTCCAGCGATGGTTTCATTAGATATCTTAGAACTAGAATCCCTTTTTTTTCGATCAAGTTCCTCCACCAACGGGAACCCTAATAAGTTTCAGGCATGCTAAACTTTTTAGTTATTGGGAGAACCCAAGTTCTCTCTTTCGGATTGAGTAAACAACTCTCAAAGATCTTTTTTCCTTTGGGAAGATACCGGAGCGAAACAATCAACCTATTGATATTGTAAGACCCAACGGATTCTTCCAATGTATCATTTATGGGTCCAATGGAATTCATAGGTATAGGAAGAAGCCCTATCAAATAGAGATTTTTTCTTTCGACCATATTTATGTTTGTTAATATGATATATAAGGACCGCTAGTACAAACAGTATTATACCCTTGATCGTGAAATATCGATTGCTTGGTGAACCCTGTAAATTGCGTGAAAGTAGGATACTCCAAATTAAAGGGTCATAGAGTTTTAAAAAATGTTCTTGGTAAAAAGAATTTGAATGAAGGATCCCACTGAATTGAATTGGGTCCATGAATCTAAGAAATGGTGAGAATTCTTGATCCCAAACAAGAAGTTTCCAAGGAAGCATGCATAGCACTGAATAGGGAGCTGCCTATTACACCAACTAGGCCTAAGATGTGAAATAGGTGCATAAGGATGTTGTGCTCAGCCTTAAATAATATAATGAAATTTAAAGTACCGAGCTCTACGTTTGAAACTTCAACACAGTCATTCCTTAGTAGCTCGTTGCTACAACTTCTATTTAGCTCTTTTCGTGCTTACTCACTTCACTCGCTCTCGTTCAATAGAGGTTCTTCATTCTTTAGATAGCCGCGCAAGAGGTCTAAAATTCCATTCAGTTCAGGTCCTTAGTTCCAGTTGAATCGCGAGTAAAGCTCGACACTACTAGCAAAGCTCTACGACAGAGCATATCCATTATTTCCATTATAGAGCGAATCACACTGCGCTCTCTCTTTACAGCCGGTATGTAGAATCGTCGGAGCGAGCAGAGCAACGGAGCTTCTCTATAAATACAAAGGAATTGTTCCATTATTCCTCACTAATAATAGTAGAATCAATGGCGCGGAGTCAAAAAGAACGAAGACTATTAATAAACCAATCAAATAAATTCACTCATTTTATAAGAAATTTCTATATGATTTATTATCGGGAAAGATTAAACACAAGAAAAATCTGTAGTAACATCTCAAGGGAATGTTGCTAATGGAAAATGTAGGATAATAGGTCCTATTCTTTTTTTGTTGACCCTCATTTGAATTGATTGGATTCTTGAGCAATGAGATATTTTCGTAAGTTCCTATAAGGAATATCAATGAACCCGATTATTGCAATTGCTCAAGATAGCCTTTTTTAGCTTCTAGGGTCTATTTCTTACTTCAATATCCCTCTTACTAACTGGAATCAAAGAATTAGTAGATCTGTTCCGCCCAAAATGGAATAGACTAGGGTTATGAACTTATAATCTTATGATCGAGTCGATTCCATGATTATAGGTTCATTCCATACCAGTCCAGGACGAAATAGGGTTATATACATTCTCATAATGAGAAGGGGCCATTTGGGCCTATCTAAATACATACTATGTTTACATATGGATTTCTACATCGTTACATTCTATTTAGGATTAGGAATACGCATAATTGGACCTACTTTTTACATATCCTTATTGGGACCCTATTCACCTATTTGAATGAATTGAGAAATAGGTTTGATTGTCTATGTTTTTTATATATATCAGGCATTGCATTCTCTGGATAATTCAAATCGAAGTAATTGGATGTCCAACTCGGGCCTATATGACATGACCGATGAATAGATCCACCTTTGTCATATATTCCATACATCACGCTAGATATATATCATATTCATGGAATAGGATTCACTTTCAAGATGCCTTGGTGGTGAAATGGTAGACCCGCGATTCTCAAAATCTCATGCTAAAGAGCGTGGAGGTTCGAGTCCTCTTCAATGCATATTCTCCTGGAATTTGAAGAAATTCTACAGCGGATCGCGAAA